CATATATCGTTGCTGGCAAGCAATATGTCATCGACATATAAAATCAGAAAAATATACTTGTTCCCACTGAACTTGTGGTATATATAATCATCAACCAAATTCATCTCAAAACCAAATGAGATGATCACTTGATAAAACATGTAATACCATTGACGAGAAGCTTGTTTGAATTCATAGATGAATTTCTTTAATTTATAAACCATTTGCTTTGCATTATCTGATACAAAGTTTTTTTGTTGTTCCATATAAATTGTTTCAACAATATCACCATTGAAAAACGATGTCTTAACATCCATCTGATGTAACTCAAGATTGAAACGCGGTCTTTAATGCTTCACCCCAGAGAGATTCTGGTATGGTTGAATGATTAATCATACTCCTCACCATGTCCTTAAGCGTTCTGTTTCATCTCTCAACAACGACATTCATAATGGGCGAACCTAGCATAATGTACTGTGGGATGATACTGCATTCCTCTAGGAATTTAGCAAATGGTCCTGGACGTTGTTCACCTAAACTGTCATATCTGTCATAATATTCACCTTCACGGTCAGATCTGACGCTTTTAATCCTTTTGTCGAGTTGGTTCTCAACTTTGGCTTTATAGTTTTTGAACATATCTAGTGACTATGGTTTTTCATGAATGAGCTATATGTAGTCATATCTAGAAAAGTCGTCTATGAACGTTATAAAATATTATTGACCATTCCATGAACCGGTAGGGAATGGTCCACAAATATCCGTATGTATAAGTTCTAAGACGTCCAAAGTTCTATTAGCTTGAAATCTCCTTTTATTGGTTTGTTTTTCCTTTACACAGTTGACATACAGATCATAATCTGTGAAGTCAAGGGCGTTGAGAATCCCGTCAGACACAAGTCTCTCAATTTTTCTTTTGGAGATGTGACCTAATCTTTTATGCCACAACGAGGTAGAATTCTCGTCGGTTAATTTTTTGCTTTACACCTCGAGTACTTACATGCAAGGATTCATTAAAAAAATAATTGTATCAATTGAATAAAGATTATCGTAACCTGATAAAAAATCGGAACCAACCAATTTTAAATCATGAAACAAATTAAATTTTCCATTTCCAAATGAACAAGTATAACCGAATTTGTCCAAAATAGAAATAGAAATCAAATTTCATCTAAAAGACGGTACAATAAATGTCTCAACAAGATCCAAATAAAATCCAGTTTTTAACAATAATCTAAAATTTTCTATTGCCTTTACTTCCACCTTCTTGCCGTCGCCAGCATAGATGTATCTTTCACCATCACTTGGTTTTTGACAACTCAGGCAACCATGCATAGACATACTGATGTGAGTTGTTGCACCAGAATCTCTTCACCATGTATGTCTAAGTACCGAAGTTAGATTAACCTTAGAACAAACTAAATGAAGAAGAATACATTTCTTTACACGCCATGCGTGGTAATTGGTGCAATTCTTCTTCTTATGACCTGTAACTCTACAGAAGAAACAACCACCTTCAGTTGGTTCCTTATGCTGTTTCTTTTGGGGTGCTATACCCGTAGTTTCCTTATTAATTTTCTTTTTCTTGTTCCTTTTGACCTTAGAGATGGTGGCTAAATGAACACTTTTTGTCTTCTCATGCTTCAATCTTTTCTCTTCCTGGACACAATGTGAGACGAGCTCATTAAGGGACCAAGAGTCCTTTTGACAATTGTAGCTCATCTTGAACTGACTGAAATGTGCCGGAAGGGATATCAAAATTAAGTGCACTAACAAGTCTTCATATAAATCCAACTTGAGTGCCTTTAGTTTTGAAGCAATATGAGACATTTCCATAATGTAGTCCCGAATGTTTCATTTCCCTTTATACCTCATTGAGACAAGGTTCATAAAAAATGTACTTGTTTCAGCCTTTTCATTCTTGGCAAACCTCTTCTCAAGATTCTCAAGGAAACCCTTAGTCGTAGTCAGCTTATCGGACATAGTGCCTCGAAATGCTTCTGGAATAGCACGCTTCATGACCACTAAGCTTATGCGGTTCGATCGTTCCCATTTTTCCATCTCCATCTTGTTATCAGATGTATTCTTATTAGTAAGTGCAGTAAGTTGATCGACCCGTAAAGCAAGGTCCAGGTCCATACTCCGAGAACAATCACCGTGTTCTCTTGCCATGCCCTGAAGTTTGTGCCATTTAATATTGGAATTAAATTGATGCTAGCAGAGATATTAGCAACAGAACCTGAAACTGAATTAGAGAACGATTATTATGAACAGCTCACATGAACATCTTTAATATGCAAATAATAATATTCTCAGATAGTGGTAGGGCACATCACAAGATACATAGCACAATATCAATATCTAGTTTTTGGATAGAAATATTGACTTGTAAGTGGTACTCTTGGCGTAGTGATCAAACATTGGCGATAAAACAATGTGTCAATCAATAAACCTTTCTTTGGATCGATTCATTGATCACACATTAAACCAAATAATCGTCACATGTTTATCACTACATGTACACGTGTATTCGACTAAATATTGACCTTCCTTTGGGTCGATCAATATTCCCATGAATAACACATGCACAAACACCTTTTAATATTTTAAGTTAATTAATTTCCACGAGAAAGGTTACTTTGGCAACATGTTACTTCAATTAACTAACTTTCGAACATAATATCTCTTAAAAGAATCCTTAGTACCAAAATATGAGAAAGAGGATCACCAATTTTGCATATTTGATTTAGTTTTAAACTTTAAGGGCCTTAGGATTAATAATTCAAAACTTTAAGGGGACAAAATTAATCAATTCCAAACTTTAGGGGTTGAAATTAATAAACTTGAAATTTTAGGGACCATAATTAATTAATTCAAAACTTTAGAGGATCAATTAGAACAAATTTAAAACTTTAGGGGCCAAAAAATTGACCAATTCAAAACTTTAGGGATCAAAATTGAAAATTTGAAACTTTGGGGGTCAATTTGAATTAATTATAAACTCTAGGGGCCAATTAGAATTAATAATTAAAGTTTGAGGGCTTTAATTATAAAATTCAGAACTTTAATGGCACGAATTAATTTATTTTTAAACCTTAGGGACTTAATTATTAAATCCAAACCTTAAAGGCCCAGATTCGATGTACTTTAAAATTTTAGGGAGTGAAACCTTAATTTTATAATCCTAACCCTAATTGCAACATGGGGCCTCAAATTATTTAATTTACATATCAAGCCCCCACCGCCAAAATTTCCAAAATTGAAACCCTAAAATCTTCTTTCATCTCTTCCTTTGGGCGACGCCCGATATAAATTGAAGCCTGATAGTAGCATCGGCACTACTGCACGCAGCAGTGCTGGTTGCGGATTGGCAGCGCTTGCTGTCGGCAGCAGCGGGCGCTGCTTCGACAGCCAGAAAACCCAATTAATTAATTTTTTTTAAATTCCCAAAAGAATCTGAATCAAACATCGTTGTTTGCAATAATTGAACCATGCGGTATAGTCTTCCAAATCTACGCGCAGCCCGTAATTCTCTCTGGCGATGGGAGATAGAATAGAATGAGCAAAAGATACGTGTGATTTGGGGACCATAACCATATTTATATAGCAATGCCCTTTAACCTAATTCGGCCCATCATAGAATTAGGGTTTAAGCCCGGTCTCTACACATTTAGAACCTACACTTTAATTGGATACATTAAAGTCCAAAAATTAAAGTCTTATTAGATCACTTTGATTGGGCTCAACCGAATTTGATAGCCTTTAATTTAACACACAATTATTCATACATATAAGCCCATTGATGTATTAAAAATCCTCACAGATCTGTCTCCAAATATTGATTTGGATGCAAAGAGGAATATGCTTATGGCTTGTGTAGTAGTTGTAGCGATCTCAAGGATTGGGTTTAATTACAAGTTACTTTTTCTTACTTTTAGTAAAAGAAGTTATTCATTTAACAATCATGCGACATGTATAGTAATTTTTGCTAGACGGTTTGACAAATTACCAACTTATACAATTTTTTTAGATGTTGGACGAAAAACAAAAATAAACCAACCAATCCAGTATTATCACCTCATCATCTGTAAAAATCCATGTACATTTCATATGTACAAGGAGCTCAATTCCTCTTTAAATAACAAAATAATGTTATGCGTCTATACAACTTAGCCTTTGTTTGAGCCACTATAATGTGTTTTTTTGGAAATATATTTTGAATGATGATTTTTTTTTTAAGAATGTATGGTTAAAAAAGAAGTAAAAATTTTGAATTTACGTGTAATATTATTTTATTGAAGAATGAGTAGTTGAGAGAGAGAGAGAGAGGAGATGCATTTTGGATAAAATGGAGCTCAAAAGGTATATATCTTTAAGTTTCACCAAATATTGACTACTGTATCTCAATAAATGTATCAAAATCGCAACATACGCAAGTATGCAAGGCAATGTTGGAGTTTATGCACATACGTATAACCATAACTTCTTTTTTAGGACTTGGAGGATGCTACACTATCAAGGCAGAGCCTACCAGGCTTTGTATTACAATGAAGTGGGTCAGCATTTTTATTGCAATTTTTTATTACGTGAAAGTCCCACGTCGGGCCCATTTCATTGTGAGTACCTGCAAAGAGCCCGGTAAAATCTGACTGTCAGACCAGCATTTTTGTTAGGACTTCATGCATACCCGACTCATGAAAACCAGATTTTGAAATAAATAAATACTTTTTGCTATTGCACTTTCCGCTAAAAAGAGTAAGCAAATGCTAGTATCGTCAAAAGTATTAGCCAGGAGATGTCTTCTTTTGGGAACCAGTCGACCACCTTCTCCATACTGCTCATTCCATTGCAGAAGCTCTGTCATGATCTGTGAGTCGGCTGGTGTGCTTGCACCAACCTGCATTAATAACAGAAACTCTATCATGTTTTCATAATATTTTATCACAAAATGTTCACAAGGGGGTTATTTTCCCCAGTTATATATATATATATATATATATATATACAAACCTGTTCACTACCATAATTGAAGTCCTTCCTATTTAAAGGCCGTAGTTCAGCACTCCCTCTATTGGTTCAAGAGATCTCTGCAGAAAACCAACATCTAAATCATGAACCTGTAATATATGATTCATGTTTCTGTATATTAAAAAGTAGTCCTAAACAAATAATTATTTGTCCTATAATCCTGAATCAACAGCCAAAACCTAAGAAAATGTTTGCTTGGGAAGGGAAGAAAAAGGAAAACAGATCCTGGAGTGGTAGATTAAGTCAAAATGAAACAAATATAAGCAAAATCAAATAAATATTTGGATTCATATGAAAAAGTTCACTTGGTATAGCATCATCTATTTGTTAAGCAAACTTATACAAGACTCCGATGTTAAATTTAACTTACGAACTGATTTCGCATCATCCATCTACCAACTTATAAAACGAATTTCACCATAAATGATCATAAACCTGGCTTGTTTACCCTTCAGTTAATTCGTTTGTGATCAATCCCATGTTACTTTATGATATCAAAACAACTTTGCTTATATAGAATATGCTGGAAACTGACCTTTCCCTTTTCCTTCCTTAAAAACTCTCTCACGGGACAATATGCAGCAGCGATGCACAGGTTCTGCAAAGCATGATAAACAGAGGAGAGCCTGAGAAAATGTTGTTGCTTTAATTTGTGTTGCACGGACACTTCAATTAAGGTGGTGTATCCGAGTTTGTGTTCAACATACGTGTCGGATACCGACACTTCTCGGACACACTACCATGAATTATTATTAAATAATAAGTAAGTACTTATATTCAAAAGATTTCAACAATAATAATAATAATAATAATTAATAACAAGTATAAAACTAAATTTATATTATATGAATGAAGAATTTTAAAGAATTTATTCAACGTATCGACGACATGTCGTGTCGGTAGTTTATTGAAAAATCACGTATCGACATGTCCGACACGACATGTCCGTATCTGTGCATCATAAGCTTTATATATAATAAGAAGAGTGGGGGGATAATGAAAACACAAACCTTGAGATCACTACCAGAGAAGCCATCAGTCATACTAGCAATTGCAACAATATCAACATCAGGAGTCAAGTCTTCCTCGGCCAATAAAATTTTAGGATCTCAGTTCTGTTTGCAAGATCAGGCAAATTTTACCATGAATCTACAGAACAGACCAAAATTATAGTCGGAGACGTCAAACTACAAAAGTGAACAAATATGTTTACCAGAAAACAGGAATCTACCAGCGTGGCAGTCTTCTGATAACAGATTCATCAAGGTCGAAAGGCCTGTTTGTGGCTGCAAGAACTAGGATCCTTTCCTCATCCTTTGTGCGCAAACCGTCCCAATTCACCATAAATTCAGTTATTATCCTACGAGTGATTCAGGAGTCATGATCGTTTCTTCGACCCAAAGTGCTGTCAACCTTTATGATATTGACAAGGAATAAGAATTGCCCAAAACATGCTAAACCAAGTTAAAAAACTGTTCATGACCAGAAACCTTACCTCATCAACGAATACAACACAGGGAGCGATTTTCCTGGCTGTCGAGAAGATTGCCATCCATATTGTTCCGAATCACCATACCACTGTAAAGAAAATGTTCTAAAGGTCAGGTGCTTTAGTAATTTTATGCTTAATCATTTAGTAATTTCAATGCATTACTGACCTTTGAATCAGTACTAGACATTGAGATGTTTAGAAAATTTGCACCAGCTTCAGTGGCTATAGCTTTGGCGAGCATAGTTTTTCCCGTACCAGGAGGACCAAGAAAAAGTATTCCCCTACAAGGCTGGACATAGAAAGGGTTAATTAAATTTGTCTAGTTTTCACGCCCATCCACTAAAATAAGGGCAACAATTTCAGATATATATTAACCAAAGGCCCTTCAAGAACCTAACCAACAACTTAAAATCTACAACCCTGGAAATAGATAAGAATCCACGAGCACAAAGATTGGGTATTATGGCATGCAAGCAATCATTTAGCTACAAAATAATTTATTGAAAAATCACGTATCGACATGTCCGACACGACATGTCCGTATCTGTGCATCATAAGCTTTATATATAATAAGAAGAGTGGGGGGATAATGAAAACACAAACCTTGAGATCACTACCAGAGAAGCCATCAGTCATACTAGCAATTGCAACAATATCAACATCAGGAGTCAAGTCTTCCTCGGCCAATAAAATTTTAGGATCTCAGTTCTGTTTGCAAGATCAGGCAAATTTTACCATGAATCTACAGAACAGACCAAAATTATAGTCGGAGACGTCAAACTACAAAAGTGAACAAATATGTTTACCAGAAAACAGGAATCTACCAGCGTGGCAGTCTTCTGATAACAGATTCATCAAGGTCGAAAGGCCTGTTTGTGGCTGCAAGAACTAGGATCCTTTCCTCATCCTTTGTGCGCAAACCGTCCCAATTCACCATAAATTCAGTTATTATCCTACGAGTGATTCAGGAGTCATGATCGTTTCTTCGACCCAAAGTGCTGTCAACCTTTATGATATTGACAAGGAATAAGAATTGCCCAAAACATGCTAAACCAAGTTAAAAAACTGTTCATGACCAGAAACCTTACCTCATCAACGAATACAACACAGGGAGCGATTTTCCTGGCTGTCGAGAAGATTGCCATCCATATTGTTCCGAATCACCATACCACTGTAAAGAAAATGTTCTAAAGGTCAGGTGCTTTAGTAATTTTATGCTTAATCATTTAGTAATTTCAATGCATTACTGACCTTTGAATCAGTACTAGACATTGAGATGTTTAGAAAATTTGCACCAGCTTCAGTGGCTATAGCTTTGGCGAGCATAGTTTTTCCCGTACCAGGAGGACCAAGAAAAAGTATTCCCCTACAAGGCTGGACATAGAAAGGGTTAATTAAATTTGTCTAGTTTTCACGCCCATCCACTAAAATAAGGGCAACAATTTCAGATATATATTAACCAAAGGCCCTTCAAGAACCTAACCAACAACTTAAAATCTACAACCCTGGAAATAGATAAGAATCCACGAGCACAAAGATTGGGTATTATGGCATGCAAGCAATCATTTAGCTACAAAATAGTTTCAAATTTTTTAATTTTTTTTTTTTTTTTTTTTTTTTGTCTCATATCTTTCCAGCTAGCAGAAGTTATCAAATAAGAATATCTCGTCAACCATGTTAAATGCATAAATATGCAAGGATATCACAGATTGGTGGAAATAAAGCTACCTTCCTGAGTTGCCCTTTACAGAATAATTCAGGTCTCTGTAAGGGAAGCATCACCAACTCCTTCAGTGTATCCTTGATGTTATCAAGAGCTCCAATGTCATCGAACTTGACACCAATTTCATTCCGAGGAATTACGTCTGCCCAGATCCTTCTCTCAAATTCGTTTTCAAATGTGATTTCCTGTGAGTTGTGTGAGTTGTCAGAACAGTCTACAGCACTTCGAGAGGAAAATTCTAGATAGAAAATAATGGTTTTTGGTTATACACAAGATCATTACTCTATATTTTTTCTGTGAAAATGAGTAATGATGATAACAAAAATCGAACTAAAGATATACCAGAGTCTTCGACTTGGTGCAGGAACTGCTGAATGAACTCAAGCCTGGCATCTGTGCTTGCTGTTGAACTTGCATTTGAAACAGTTCTAGTCTTTGTTGGTTTAGCTTATGCAGCTGTTGTAGTTGCTGCTGAACCTTTTGTGCCACCATTCGTCAATTGTAAAGAGACCCATGTTGCGACAACTGGGAAGGATTCACTGCAGAGAACTGATCAAACCTCACCCAGAACGAAAAAGACACTAAATGTAAACAATGTCAATATCCAAATATCAAGTTTAATGGCCAAAGTTATTAGTTCCCATACAGGGATGACAAAAAAATCCACATCCACGGGCCTCGCCTCCAACAGCATGAGGATTACCCACCTAATCAGGTAAATGGGACAGGGGTGAGATGGGGTTCGTTGCCCCGAAGCGGGGAAGGGACGAGTAGTGGAAACATTGTCTTAGCCCCGCTTAAAGTTCATATCAAATTTAAGTTTTTTTTATCAAAGAAAAAGAAAATATTTATTGTTATAAAATTAAAGGGAAGAGAGAAAATAAGATAAGAAATAGAGAGTCAAAACTCAATTGTGTATTATTAGGAACCAATGCCCTATACTTATAGGGTCCAAAATAAGAGTTACAATTTGAATAAAATAGATCTTCTAAACTAGATAAGACTTATTCATGTATCATAATGACACAATATAATCATCAATAATTATCTCATTATTTTACAATACTCCCCCGTTGATAATTATTTGTACAATAATTGCATCGTTAAAAATCTTGTTTAATAAAAACCCATTGGGAAAAAAATCAAACAAAGGAAAAAAGAGTACAATTGATTGTCAATATTTTGGAGTATAAAGAAAATACTACCTTATTAAAACCTTGCTAAGGAAATCCAATGGAATAAAGCCTAGACTAAGGAAAAAGAGTACACCTGTACAACTGCTCCCATTGATGAAAATCACTGAAGATCTTTGAGTCTGGCATCGTTTTTGTGAATAAATTGACCATATTGTCACTTGAGCAAATTTGTTGGATATCGATGTTGTTATTCTTTTGAAACTCGTGTGTATGAAAGAATTTTGGAGAAATATGCTTCGTCATGTCACCTTTGATATAGCCTCTTTAAGTTGTGTAATACGAGCTACATTGTCTTCGTACAAAATTGTTGGACTATCTTTTATTGAAGTGAACTCGCATGATACTTGGATATGATGAGTCATGTTTCTCAACTATATATATTCTCGGTTGCTTCATGGATTGTAATAATTTCAAAATGATTTGAGGATGTAGCTGTCAAGGATTGTTTCACAGATCTCCATGATATAACCATTCCTCCACGTGTAAACACACAACTAGTTTGTGATTTAGATTTATGTGGGTTAGATAGATAACTTGCATTTACATATCCCACTAAAACAGATCCTGACTTTTGAGAATAAAATAATCCCAAATCAATAGTACCCTTTAGATAACTTAAAATATGTTTCACACAATTCCAATGTATTTGAGTTGGTGTAAAACTATATTTTGCAAAGAAATTTGCAAAAAAAGTTATGTCGGGTCAAGTGCAATTTACAAGATAAGTTAATGTTCCCATTGCACTAAAATATGGTACTTCAAGACCAAAAACTTTTTCTCCATTTTCAAGTGAACGAAATTGATCATTTTTCACATCAAGTGATCGAATAATCATAAGTAATGCTAATGGATGTGCATTATCAATATAAAAACGTTTTAACACGTTTTCTGTATATGTAGATTGGTGAACAAATAATTCATTTGCAAAATGTTCAATCTACAATCCAAACAAGAGTTAGGCATACCATAACTCAACATCATACTTCAACAAATATTTGCTTAGTCAATTATACCTCATGCGTTCGGATTATTTTAATCCATATAATGATCTTTACAATTTAATTAAAAACATGATTTTTAGTCATGTATAATTTAAGCTATGCTTCAGGTGTATTAAATTTTTCAAAAATAACATTAATAGTGATGCAAAATGAGTTGACTATCACGTACTTAAAATTTCATGTATCGTCAAAATAATATGATAGAGACTCGTAATTTCATCCACGACAATCTTTGCGAAATTCACTATGTTGAAAGTCATGCATTACACATTTCGACTTCATTTTTCTCATTTCCTTTTCGTATAAATATATACCTTTAGATTTTCGGACTACAGGTCCAAAAACTTCACGTATCTCTAGTAAATTCAATTTAGGATTGCATCCCTTATATTTGGCCAAATATTATTTCGATTCATATATTTCAACACATTTATTTCGATTCTACGCTATTCATAATATGATGCAGTACATCATGTATAGAAGCATTGTCGACAACTTTTCTTTTTTTTCTCGATTCTATTTCTTTTCCTGTAATGACATAACTTATTAAAATATCTCAAGTTTCAACATATCAGGTACTTGAACCTCTCATGAGATTTTATAATTTGTTATGTCAAGACCTTTATTCCACTAGTTAGACCTTTCATTGATATAGATTCTCTATTCCTAATTGCCGTGACACGTAAAATACTAGAAAATAGGAAAAATTCTGGAAAGAAAATGAAAATATCCCTTCGGTCTATGATACATATACATAAATGGGAGAAAATCCGGATCAAACCCGTATTTTTCTTACTTAATCTTAGGTTCATTTACTTCGATGAAAGGGAAGAAAATTGCCAGAACCCTTGTTATTTTATTTGAGTTTAGGTTTAAGTCCGACGAGAATAATATTCTACGACTAGAAATTCATTTATTTCCAAACTGACCCATTTACTATCTATTATTTGATTGACTAATCCTTTATAATTACTCATCAAGAGTATATGCTTCCTTAATGAGACCATCATTGTTAATTGCTCCATTTTCATTTGAAAATCTTTTGTATTAGAATCGAACACTATCACGCTTTAAGCATGTCATAGATATATCAAATATAATGCTAACAAATTGTCCTCATACGACATCAATTCGTGTTGGAGCATTTAAAACTGGTGCGTGAGATATTGTTTATCTCTTTGATCAATAAATACATCTAAATAAATTATCTTTTGAACTTCTGGTTCGAATGATATTTTGTGAGGATTTAGGACATTATACATTCTTTTTCAACCTTTTAATCTCTCCCCCTGAATGTTGAGAGAATTATCCAATCAATTTGACAATCATTTTTTCAGCTTACAAAATATTATCAATTTGAGATAATAGTTCAAACCACTTACTTATTTTCAACATTCATTATTTTTTATCTCAGTGCATTTTGTGTTCAATTTTTACATATATTGCACTATCAAAATAATTAGATGAAAAAAATTAGAACTAAACCATAAGCTGATTATAATGGGAGAACTATGATTTTGGCATGATGCATAATAGAATTCCCTAAATAAAAATGAAAAACGCTTTGTTCTCAATTAAATTAATTGGAAGCATTAAACAAACGATAGTGTTAAATCATTTATCGACATCTCAACTAAAACTTATTAAAATGTTGAGATTTATACCCACGGGCATTAACAAGACACGGTCTTGATTATATAATTTGAAAATTATGTTCATAATTTGAGGAATAATTTCGCAAATTTCAGGTTGCGAATACCATGCAATCATCTAGTATTGGTATCGAATCTATTAGATATAAATAATACTTAGATGATCTACATGGTGCGTGATGAGATCATTATATCACCTTAATTAATTTTTTAGAAATATAACTAATTTAATTCCTATTTTAACTAGTGATGTTTAATAATCAATTGTCGACAAAGATAATGAATGATATATAGGAATTCATTCGATTGAAGAATCTTCTGGTTCTTCATTGATTATCCATTAAAAGTTTTAATTTCGCATCATTATTGATCCAGTGATGGTCCAACTGGTTATGCGAAATAATGAAATCAAATTGAACTTTTTGTTCATTATAAGATATAATTCAATTATTTAATTTTGAAGAATATGATTAAACATTATATAATCATATAATGATCAAATGCACATAACATAAGTCGTATATTTTCCTTCAGGAATAAGCACAAATTCATAAGTTACATATAATATATTCTTCAAAACATGTGCTCTTTCCAGAGCACGTATTATTTTATTATCGCTTCTTTAAGAGCAATATCAATATTCCTCTGAAATATTAGAATCATAGAGTTATGCTCTTCGGAAGCAATAACATATTATTATTTGAAATAATAAATTGCATAATAATTTACTCGTAGAAGTAAAAACATAATTTACGTTAGATCGTATTTAATTATACTCTTCGAGAGCAAGTAAAATCTAATTAAAATATCTGTCAATAATAGTGTGCTACTTCAGGAGCAATAATAATCCTTTTAAAATATTAATAATGTTGGGCTCTTCATGAGCACTAATAAATAATTGTTTAAAAACATTAATTCTTCATGAGTATGTTTTCTAAACAAATATTAATATTTTTCGAGCTGTACTTCTTCGAGAGTACTTTATATTTTACTATTGCTTCTTTGGCAGTAATTAATCAATATTTTTATTTGAAATATTAAAATTTTTAATTCATGTTTTCATGAAAAATATTTCAATATTATTCTGAAATATTGAAAATTATAATTTATGCTTTTCGAGAGTAAATAATATTCTTCGGGAATATTAAAAATATATATAGTTCATGCTCTTCAAGAGCAAGTAATATTCTTCAATAATATTAATTATAATATTGTACTACTTTGAGAATAACAATAAAATATTCGTTGAGAATATTTATAGATCTTATGTTATTGTAAACTAGATCTATATTATTGTATTCAATAATTCTAATTTAAAATTTTGTTCAACTGGAAAAAAGAATTAACGAGTACAAATTATAAGAAATATATCAAGATTTAATTAAACCCAAATGATATTAATCCATATAAAGTTATTCATAGTAAAATCAAAGTCATAATTGCATCGAATATTATCGGGAAAAACGTAGCTAATTAAGATTAGTGAATAATTAGTATATAATTAAATAATTACGCATAATTACTGTAAAGATGATTCTTTTATATTTGAATTTGACAAAATGAAAATTTGGTGGCAAATAAAAATCATAAATTAATTGTATAATGATTACAAATGAATTAAAAAAATGTATAGTGGCAAACAGTTTTATTGGAATTCATCCCTTTCTAGTTAAACAACTCAAAACATGTACAATCAATCACCCAAATGTATTTTTCAAGTTTTGACCTAATATGGATGGACGTTTCGCCTAAATTCTGAAAATTAAAACCATTAGCAAACAAAAAAACTTTAGCTCATATCAAGGTCTACTTACAGTTTTTAGTATTATCAAACCAGTTATATTTCAAAATCCAAATCATAACACAATAACAATTTCTCACACATACTTGTATGAATATATGCTACATCTATAAATATTGTGATGAGGAAGAAGAAGAATTACCTGAAAGGAAAAGTTTTCCCTATTTCCTTTTTTAGGAGAGTACTCAGTGAGTGTGTGGGCCATTAAATTCGTTAGCCCTTGGTGTTGCTTTGGTCTGGTTTTCGACAATAGATGAAAATAGGTCAAATTTGGTCAAATCTGACGGCAGGAGAAGATAGATGGAGGCAGTTAGTGATAGTAGAAACAACTAGATGGTGGTGGCAAGTGTGATAACTGGAAGATAGGTGAGAACAAGTGGCAATTGGATCTTCTTTTTTTTTCGAACGAAGATTTTGAGTTATATAAAAAAATGAAACTATCGTGCTGATAACGTGTTATAAAACTAAATGAAAGAGAGAAATAAGAGAAGAAATAGAGAGTCAAAACTCAATTTTGTATTATTATGAAACAATGCCCTATATTTATATGGTCCAAAATAAGAGTTACAATTGAAATAAAATAGATCTTCTAAACTAGATAAAATTTATCAATGTATCGTGATGGCACTAAATAATCATCAATATTAATCTCATTATTTTACAACATTTATCATCATTTTTAAAGAAATCATGAGTTGTTTGTAACAAATTGGGAAATAATAATAATAATAATAATAATAATAATAATAATAATAATAATAATAATAATAATAATAATAATCACTAACTAAAGATATAAAGAAAATAAAAGCAAAAAATAAAATAAACAAATACATAAAGGGACTTGCATGTTCCATCCCACACCAATCCCGTCCCGAACCCGCCTGTCCTGCTTTAATCGGGTATGGCACAGGATAAGATAACCAAAATACTCGACAAGATGGGGCTCGCCTCATTGTCATCCATTCGGTTAAATCAATTGCATGCAATTATTTTCAACAAAACTACCTTTCGAAAATAATTACTTTTAATTTGAGTATTTACAAAAATTGACAATGAAATAAATAATACCTTGTGCAGTAGGAATTGCCTGAGAAATATTTTTGAAGTGGCATGCCAAGTCCATTATTTACAGAGCAATCGAAACCTTCTATCTGATAAAACTTATCCAAAACATAAAAATTACTAAGTAAAATATGAGTAAATTATGTTTTATTGTACAAATTTTGAAAAAATAAAAAATAAAAAATAAAATAAAATATGCAGCACCTTAATCTTCTTAAGTGCCGGTGGTTGATGCCCGTCAGAATAACATAACACCCTTATCATCTTCTTATGTGCCAGTGGTTGATGCCTATTAGAATTGTTACAGGGCCTTTCATCGCTATTGCTGCTGTTAGAACACATTGTGGCTTTGAGCGTAAAGAAATCTGGGATTTGTGATTTGTAATCTTAATTTCGAGTGGTCGATCCTTAGAATTTATAGGGACATTATAGGGTGGGAAGATCCCTTTATGTATTACATATTTGTAAGACTCCATTCTCCTGATGATTTATTATTTCTTTTTCATGTAATTAACTATGCAATATTATGTAATAGTCGAAGCTCAATTTCTATAGGATTCAACCAATAAAAACTAAATTGCAACCAAAATCAGAAAACAATTGAATATAATCAGTTGGGAATCAATAACCTAAGTTGTAATTCTATTAATTAAGCTGAAGTTTAACCAGAAACAACAAAGATAAATAGAGAAAGAAGGGGCAAAATGACAGCAGTAGAAGACAGGAAGAAGAGCAGAAGAAGGAGAAAGAAAAGGAAGAAAACAACAGAGAAGAAGATACTAGAGAAGAAGAAGAAGAAATGGGAAAGTTAGAGAGGAAACAGTAAAAGAAGAATATAAACAACAGGAAAAGAGGAGAAAAAGACTAGCAGCAGCATAAGACAGGGAAGAAGAAGACACGATTCAATGCAATATACATCCCTTCTCCAAAATGAAGAAATACAACCATATATAGAATAAAACAAACCTAACAGGAAAGGGCTTTGGGCTAGCCCACTAACAAGCCCAGCTAGATAAGCCACGACATCCCTTCCCCTTAAATTAACTTTGACCTTAAGGTTCAAAGACAAGATACCTTATTTGTATGTTAGTAGTAGCTGCTCGTTCTCTTCATCATCCTTGGATTAAGCAGGTAGAGCAAGGTGGTATATTGACCATTGGAGGCTGCAATAAGGAGGTCATTTCCCATTCTTATGTTCAGGATAAGGCTCATAGAATTCTTATTGACTGGAGTCTCTTGAGCAAGTTGCATTTCCTTGGGTGTATATCCAACCATTAGGTGAATAAGTACATCACAATGAAGCCAATTCCATTGTCTGATAGAGTATGGGGATGGTAAAGTGCAATTGTGAACTTCCTCTATCAGTATCCCGTATAGTTCTATCATATGTGGTTCATTGGATTTTATGTAGTCTTTGAAAGTTTTTGGACCACAATCCATGTCCCCAGCATGAAGATTGTACTTCATAACTTCCATTAGAATGAAAACATCAAGGAATTTACCAACCTTCTTAAGCATCTCTAGGAGTCATTCCATGGCCTCAACATTCCTCAGGTCAACATATGCATGAAATGTCACATGATATACTGCTAAGTGCCTGGAAATAAACCTACCACAGTGATGAATATACTCAGGGGGTTGTACAATTCTTCTTCAGAGTTACCAACATAATATTATTTTCAGCATTATCTTTTATTTGTGTTGAAAATTAATAGCAAATAATAGTGTTACCGTAATTTATATTTGGGCAGAGTAACAACGTTTGGATGGTTTTGAACGGTCGAGGCAAGAGTTCGACTCTTTCTCCTTAAAATGATAATGTCCACACTGGTACTAACGGTATTGCAGCACTCGTTTCTCAAGATACAACGACCTCGTCTTGTAATAGTAGTACTTCAAATTACAAGACCCGACGAACCCGTAAAGTTTAGATCTCTCCACACACACTGGATGAGTGAAATGCACGAAAAGTAATTTTCGAGGACTGAATTATAAGAACAGAAATTATGCAGGGACAAAGGGATAATTTCGGGAGAGTGGAAAATCAATTCTGATTTTTGGAATGAATGAAAATCGGGGTATGGGGGCCTATTTATAGATGTTGAAAGGTTGTATTCCAATAGACACAACTGTCGAAAAGTTGTGTCCAAAAGACACAAACGGTTTGGACAATCAACCGCCACAACCCGCTAAATTCTAGAAGTATCGTACCACGTGTCACACATAGAAAATGAGCCGAGCCGAGCCGGTCGGACGGACGGCGGTGACGGCGCGAGCGTGTGGACTTTGGCTTAACTTACTAGCATGTAGGTTCTGTCCCCCTCAAAGACTATTGGTAACCTTGGGGCCCAAACCCAAGTCCCAAACTTGAGCTATATAAGGTGGTTTATATTCTTCTAGTTTTCCTATGTGAGATTGGTATTTTTCAATTTTCCACCTATTTTATTTCAACATCAAGTGGGTATCTTTTGACCTTAATTTCTCATTCACTCTAAATTGGTTTTGAGAAAATAAATATACCATATTAATCTACTCATGGAGTAGAACACATTCGGCCAAAGAAATCTTATTTCCGATTAACGGGACCCACTAAATTAATTGGTCAAAAGTTGGTCAAACCAACTAATTAAAACCAATTTTTTCCAACAATCCCCCACATGAATGGAAATTAATGCAGTAGACTATGCAAACCCTATAGAGAGATCAGGCGGAATGTTATCGCATCTTGATAGGTACCTTATGGGGTTGAACCTTCCGTAGTAGAATACTATCGGATTTACTTGGCTAATCAGTGAACGCGGTGTCTTGAACTGTCAGCCGTTTTTGTAAACCAAGACAATAGTATCAACACAATAACCTTCCTAACATTTTCGAGTTCTCACTGTTGTGTTCATTTTGGCCCTGAACAACTCTTGGATTTCATAAGTGCTTTAGAGAATTCAAGCCTTTGAAACATTCTCATAGAAGCGGCCACACTTCACACTTGTATAGGTGATCTCCTATTAAGAGTACCTGCCGTACTCCACTTAGGTAGTCCAAGATATAGGAATCATTAAAAGTATAACTTAACCTAAAACTTTCTGCAAATAACACTTCCTTATCATAGGAATGGGTAGGAGTTAACTCCGAAGTGCTTATTGAATCTTCATAACTTAGTTGTCCCATTAAACCAAGATTTTGGGATCTCCAGTCAAGCAAGGTTGGGTGACCATTACAAAGATTCTTATGTAGTAGGCTTTAAATCCATTCCCCTTGATAGGCAGTATACTTGATCTCTTGGTAAGCCTTTGGTAAGCGGATCTGCCAGATTTTCTCTAGACTTTACATAATCTATGGAAATAATATCATTTGAGATCAACTGCTTAACTGTATTATGTCTTCGACGTATATGTCGAGACTTACCATTATACATACTACTTTGTGCTCTACCGATAGCCGACTGACTATTACAATGTATACTAATTGCAGGCACAGGCTTAGGCCAACATGGAATATCCTCTAAAAAATTTTGAAGCCATTTTGCTTCCTCTCCAGCTTTATCTAAAGCTATGAATTCAGATTCCATTGTGGATCGAGCTATACATGTTTGTTTAGAGGATTTCCAAGATACAACCGCACCACCAATGATAAAAACATACCCACTAGTGGATTTTAAGTCTTTTGTATCTGATATCCAATTAGCATCACTGTATCCTTCTAATACAGCTGGATATCTCGTATAATGTAATCCAACACTTGAGGTGTATCGTAGATATCTTAGAACCCTTACCAGTGCTTTCCAATGGTCATTATTTGGGTTACTTGTATATCTACTAAGTTTGTTTACTGCATATGCAATATCCGGACGAGTGCAGTTTGTAATATACATTAGACTGCCTATTATCCGAGAGTATTCTAATTGAGATACTGGTTCGCCTTTATGTTTGGCTAAATGTAGACTTAAATCTACTGGTGTTTTAACTGGACTTTCATCATACATATTAAACCTTTTAAGTACAGTCTCAATATAGTGAGATTGAGACATTACAAGTCCTTCAAATGTTTTAAGAATTTTAATTCCTAATATTACATCTACAATACCCATATCTTTCATGTCAAAATGTTTTGTCAACATTTTATTGGTATTTGTTATCATATCATAACTACTACCCACAATTAGCATGTCATCGACGTATAGACATACAATTACATATGCATTAGGTGTGATTTTAATAGAAACACATTTATCACATTCGTTAATCTTAAAACCATTTGACAACATAGTTTTGTCAAATTTTGCATGTCATTGTTTTGGCGCTTGTTTTAGTCCATATAATGACTTGACGAGTTTACACACCTTTTTCTCCTGTCCAGGAGCGATGAACCCTTCGGATTGTTCCATGTAAATTTCTTCTTCTAGTTCACCATTTAAGAAAGCTGTTTTGACGTCCATCTGATGGATTTCCAAATTATGCAATGCTGTGATTGCAATTAATACTCTAATTGATGTTATCCTTGTCACAGGTGAGTATGTATCGAAAAAATCAAGGCCTTCCCTTTGTTTGAATCCTTTAACTATCAATCTGGCCTTGTATTTATCAACTGATCCATCAGTCTTTAATTTTCTTTTGAAAATCCATTTACAACCTAATGGTTTATTACCAGGTGGGAGATCTACCAATTCCCAGGTATGATTCTGCATAATAAAATCAATTTCACTATTGATAGCCTCTTTCCAGAATGGAGTTTCTAGACTAGACATTGCTTCATTGAATGTCCTAGGCTCATTTTCTAACATATAAGTTAAAAAATCTGGACCAAAAGATGTAGATGTTTTGGTTCTTTCGCTGCGTCTTAGTTCCATCACTTTGAGGATTACTAATTGCAGAATCATAAGTTCGTTTTTGTGGGCTTATTTCTTTCCTATCTTTACAAGGAAACTTGTCCTCAAAAAATACAGCATTCCTAGATTCAATGATAGTATTTCATGTATATCTGAAATGTCAGACTTATGTACGAGGAACTGATAAGTACTACTGTTATTAGCATATCCAATGAATATGCAATCGATAGTTTTAGGCCCTATTTTAATTTGTTTAGGCTTTGGTATTTGTACTTTAGCCAAACACCCTCACACTTTTAAGTATTTGTACGAAGGTTTATGATATTTCCATACCTCATAAGGAGTTTCGTTCCTACCTTTTTGTGGTACTTTATTTAGAATGTGGTTAGCTGAAAGAATTGCTTCCCCCCACAAGTTCTGTGGTAAACCAGAACTAACCAACATAGCGTTCATCATCTCTTTTAGAGTGCGATTTTTGCGTTCCGCAATACCGTTTGATTGAGGTGAATAAGGAGCTGTAGTTTGATGAATAATCCCAGAATCTGAACAAAATTCATGAAACGGTGCTCCATATTCCCCACCTCTATCATTACGAACAATTTGTATTCGTTTGCTTAGTTGATTTTCAACCTCATTCTTGTACTGTTTAAATGCTTCTAAAGTCTCGTCTTTACTCCTTAACAAAAAGACATAACAATACCTTGTGCAATCATCTATTAAAGTAATAAAATACTTTTTACCTCCTCTAGTTTGCACAAACTTTAAATCACAAATATCACTGTGAATTAGTTCTAGAGGATTCGAGTTCCTTTCAACTGAATGAAACGGTGTTTTTGCTAATTTAGCCTCTACACATATTTCGCATCGATGATTTTGATCAAAGGACATTGAAGGCAATAAAT